GCAAGAATTAGAAATTCTTCCTGTATCTATATAAAGCTATTTAAGCTCCCTTTTTTTAACCTTTAATGTGCAATGTGATGGCCTCTCAACAACTGATACAATTAAGTATAGGCTAATGATTTCATGGGAAATATGAAAACCATGGTCCTTTATAGGAAATGATAGGTTTGTGAGAATATAATAGGCTGTATCGTTTTAGTATTGTCTTATTATTGAGCAATTATCATTATACAAAATATTTACTGTAACATTTGCCAATTTAATTAATTGCTTCTGATGTTCTGGTAATTTCATTTTCTTTGTACTCCTGTGGAACCATAACCAAAAGGTTAAGTGGTACATCAGGTTAATGTATTGACCTTTGATGTTTCCATCTGTGACCCTACATTCAACACAAAGCATAAATAAGATGGCCCTCCTATGGTTATGACCCAGCCATTGCCCCCTCCTACACTGAGGAACTGCATTCTTCCCTTGGTGTTTCCTGTCTATGCTTCTTCAAATCCACTTAATCCCTAGAACACCACTCTGACATGGATCTCTGAGTTTCTGTTTTTATGAAAACAAATTAGGTCAGCTCAGAGGGGGAACTGTCATTCTAAGAAACAACCATGCAGACTGTAATTGAAAATCAAGGATAAAATATTTATTTAAAATTAATAAAAAAGAGATTTTACAAGATTTCCCACTTGGCCCTGGCTGCAGCCAGACTTTACGAAACAGGTCTATTCTAAAGACAAAACTCCTTAGCCATAACATTGCAATAACCTTTTTTCTAAAACAGTCCACACTGAGTTCAGAAGGATGTTGTTTACCACTATTCATATATTTTTTCTGAATTACCTGCTAGCCACTTTTTGAAGAAGCAGGAACTTGATAAGCAGCCAGTGAAGAGCATCAGAGGTCTTTTACCCACTTGTTTTCCTGATCCCCATAGAATCAGCGGTACAGAGAGCAGCTCATGCACCAATGAAGTGGTTTAAAAAAACAAAACGCATGTATGTTTTCATTTTAGAACTGGTACACAGAATGCTCTCTTTTGACTAGTGGGTACATGTCAGACTCTACCCTCTAACCACCAATGTCTGAACTAACTCCATTGTGCTGCTTCCTAGGGATTCCTGCATTTGCAGTCTTCAGATATTTAAAAAAATTACCATTTCTATATTTGTTGACAAAAATAGGAATTTTAGTACATTTTAATGGGTGGCTCTAAAAATATCTCCCAAGTATAGTAGTGTTTTACAGACCCAACTTTTGAGTCAGACAGAGTCGATTTATAAATAATAAAAAAAAAAAAAACTGCCCCATGGCTGCCTGCTGGAGGGGATGGGGGGGGGGGTGGCATTTGTGAGGCATTTGGTCAGCCAGACACAATGCCTCTATTTTGGTATATCGAGTCACACCCTTTGTAGCCACATACCTGCAACTACCTAGCCCACTGTTCGGGGAACAATTTTTATTACCTTAGTGTTATTTTCATGCATAATAACTGTAATGAACAACTCTGTCAGTGCCTCCTGGTGGCCATGTTTCCTTTTTTGTTGTTCCTAGTATCTTGGGGGTTCCTTAAGGGATTTGCAGGAAAGAGAAAGCAAGGGACTTGTAAAAAGTGTATCACACATTTAGGACATGCATCTTTTTACCTTTGAGAAAATTCTGACACTAAATTGGGTTTTGAGGAAAAATCAAAGAAAAAAACAAACAAACAAAACAAAACAGCCCTAAAGGTGCTCAGTGGAAAATTGGGATTTAGCTAAAATCTGAATTTCCAGGAGACCAAAGACCTGCAGCACACCAGCCCTTGTTAAGTCAAAATTACTGCCTGAAATGAAGCATCTGGAGGGCGATGGCAGGGTCGCGGGGTCTTTCTTCCTGTCAGTCAGTAAGCAAAGTTTAGGGCTCTGAAACTCAGCTCGCACAGCAGGCTTGCAAGCTCCAAGGCCTCCACCTGGTGCCAGCGACTTGGAGTGTGCAAAGTCCGATCACACTTTTAGGTAGAAATGTGTTTTCCTCCTGTGGCTAAAAGATCAAAATTCTTCGGTTTTGCACTACTTGCTCTTGACTCTGGCAAAGGCAGAGTATCCTTGGCCGACACTGCAGACCAGTGGCCTCTGTGGCACCACCCACCAGCTCTGAAGAGCAGGTCCCGGTTGCGACTCATCTGAGGCTATTTTACAACCAAGGCAAGGTGGCTGTGAACAAGAAGGCTAGGATTATAGAGCCTCTACCAGGGTGCCCCGGGGCTTCCCAGTGATGAAAGGGCTGAGCCCGGACCGGCTACCTTCCCAACCACGTCCTGGTGTATTTTTCTACTCCAAACAGTGGAGTGGAGGTTCCCGTGTTTTGGGTGCGAGCTGCTGTACTTCTACAGCGTAAACCCAACTTTTCCTTTTCCCAGCAGTCTTTCCTTTGGAAACTAGTCGGAGTGTAAAGTGACTCTGAGTTTCACTGCCTAAGACCTCTCGAGGACCATGCCGTTAGGCGCGAGCAACAGAGTGCTGTCTGAGTCGGAGATGGTCCTGTCTGAGACTCACTCTTGGGGGTCCTCCTTTCTCCCTGGGGTTCCTGGTCTATCTCCCCCGAGTCTGGAGCTCTGACACGCCCATTTCGGGCTCCGGAAGCCTTCTACGTTCTCAGGAAAGGTTGTAAAGGACCCTAAGCTGTTGAAGATCTCACCGGCCAGGAATTTTGCACAGCTCCAGGACTCCCCTAGTACGCGAGCTGTCCCGGGGCCAAACTCCCAGTTTCTCACCCTCTCGAGGGTCGGGCTCACAATTGCGCGCGCCAAGCACCAATCTGACACTCTAGAAGCACCCTCGCCTGGCTCCTCCGCGTACGACCCCCACCTCTCCAGCAAGTCTCAGAGTCCCCCTCGCCCTCGCTCCCAGGAGCCGGGTTGCCGCGCCCTTCCTTCGCGGCCTCCCACCCCCATTTCCGGGGTCTCCTCCCTCTTGCTTGCACCTTCCCGCACTCGCTCCCCGCCCTCCCCACTGCCTGCTCGCGCTCACCTGGTTGTTTTTGCAGAGATCAGCCCACATGCTGGTGCCGTCCCCTCCGCGCATCAGGACGTGGTAGGTGAAGAAGTAGATACCCGGGATGGAGCAGGTGAACTTGCCCGTAGTGGGATCATAGTGGTTTCCGAGGTTGGTGACCACGTCGTCGAACTTGAGCACCTCGTAGCCTTCATGCTGCCGTTTGAGGCCAGCATAGAAGGCGATCTTGGGCACCGTGCTGTAAGTGGCCGCGCTGATGGCCCCGGCCGCATTCAGGCCAGGCGCCCCAGGCGGGCCCGGCAGGCCTTGGCGGCCAGGTTCGCCCTTCTCGCCCGGGGGGCCCACGGGGCCCGGTGGTCCGGGCTCTCCGGGGGGCCCACGCGGGCCTGCCTTCCCCGGCCTGCCAGCCTCGCCTTTGGGACCCTGGATAAAGGTGGGAAGGGACTGCATGAGGCCGCGGTCCGGAGTGGCGGCGGTGCTGGGAGCCTTGGTGCCCCCGTAGGGGTCGCAAACCATACGGCAGGTGCCCAGCATCTCGTAGTGCGCCGACGTGCCGGCGGAGCTCACCAGCACCGGGATGAGGATGACCAGCAGAAGCACCATCACCACCCCCAGCGCCCCGGCGGCGATCAGGCGCCTCCTGCTGCCCACGAGCCGGCTCAGCGCGGGCCGATCCTCTTGTCTGCTTTTGGACAAAATTTTGAAGGTTGGGCGGGGACCTCCTCAGAGCCGAAAACAATCCCCCTTCGAACCCCAACTCCCCTGGGCGGGCGCGCGCCGGTCGTTCTTCTCCGGCTCCTGCTCCCCCCGCTGAGGCTGCGGCTGGGGAGGGAGCTGGGGCGCCAAGTGACTTGATCTGAAGTCCCGAGCGGGGGGTGGGGGCTGGGGGAGGGGTGCTCAGGGCGCCCTCTCGCCTCCAGCCAGCCCCTTCGCACCTGTGGCTGCCGCGGGTGCCGGCGCGGCCACCCGGAGGGCAGAGCCAGCCGCTGCCTCCTGCGCTCGCCCGGGGCGGCTCACACTTTTATGCCGCTGCTGCCGGCGATCGACTTTTCCTTTTTTGCAGACTGCGCCAGTTCGCACCAACTTTCCGTCTGAAGTTGCCTTTTTTTTTTTCCTGGGCCTTGCTTCTTTTCTTTCTCTGGCTAGGTTCGTCCCTTGCCTTTTTTCTTTTTTCTTTTTTTTCTTCCTCTTTTGCAGTCACCACAACTCTAATAGAAGCGCACCCCCCAAAGCCTTTAGTGGGCTGTGGGAGCTCGGGTCGGGCGCCCCCCGAGATGCGCGGAGCGGCGGCTGTTCGCAGGATCAGCCGCTCAGAGCGGCTCAGAGCTGGAGATAGGAGCTAGCCAGCAGCGGCGAGAGCCGAACGAGAGAGGCTGAACGCAGAATTCTGCCTGGGTACCACCTGCCAGGAGAAGAGGAGGCTGACAAACGCGCGCCGGAGCAATTTATAGGAACCCAAGGCACAGAGGAAGGGGAGCCGCTTTGGCATCTCTCTGCAGCATCTGCTCTGCTCATCCCACTCACACAGAGTTTGGCATTACTCTGACAATGTGGGATTTTTTTTTCGGCCTCTCTTTTTTTTCCCCCCTCTCTGCAAGGGATGAACAGTGAAATCCTGAATACTCCCTTGTCTAACCCAGGCGATGGCAGCGCCCTAGCTGGACACACAAGGGGAGGGAGGCAGCTGTGTGACAGCTCTCAGGACTTAAGGGTCACACCTAAATCTGTTTCCCCAGAGCCAGCAGCCTTTGTTGGAGGTGGAAGTGAAGGTTGAAAGGAGGGAGGTTTGATGACAATATTTCTCTCCTGGCTCATCCACAATCAGTGCTTCAGGTGTTTTTCAAAATGCCACTTTTAACATAAGGAGGGCCCTTTCCAATTTTCCAGACAGTAGATGTGCGGTTTTTTTTTTTTTTAACCTTAGCATTTGCTTCCACAGCCTCTTAAATGAAATAAGATGTTATCCTGAGAACAGAAAAGTGTATTTAAAAACCAAAGGACATTTCTTGATTTAAATGAACTTGTCCACCGCCCAAAAGGAGGAGGGCTGGTTCTTCTTACAAGTGTCACGCAATGGTGAGAGCATACATGGGCATCTGACTTACGGGCTTCCAATTGCAGCTGCCCTTTAGAAGATACCAGCATTGGACTTGAAGTTGCGTGTGCTTAAAGGTGCAACATGCAGGAGAAATAATCACTTGTCAGTATGCCTCCGAAGGTCTTACAATAAAGCAAGCAGTGTTTGCAAAAGTGCCAGGTTTCATAAGACAGGGAGAGAATTCTGTAGGTGCCATGGCAGACTTCCCAGATGTGCATTGGGGGAGGGGAAATGGGGAAATTATGACAAAGAAAAGCCACCACCCCTAACAGGTGGAAGAGCTGGATGAAGAAATCACTTGAATTTAGAATATCAATAGAAGGCCCCCAGAGTGGGTTTTAGGAGGGTTATCCCACCAACAAACACATTTGACACATAAGGATGGTTTTAAATAAGTAAGTAGAATTGATTCCTAAATCATACTTCTGCATTCAGGAGCAATAGATGTCAATCAAACATGGGTGACATTTGCTTGTCAATACGGAATGATGGCTGGGAAGACAGTAACTTATTACAACAGGGTGAGAATCTGAAATGAGAAACAGGAACAAATAATAATATAACAAGCAAGTAATAAATCCTAAGTGACTATCAGCAAACCGTGGTCTTGTCTGTAGGCTCCACAGCACGGCATCTCCTTCAAGATTCTGCAGCCTCTCCCCATTCTCCCCTATCTCAACAGTTAAGTCCCTTCTTCTCTGATTCAAAACAAAGGAAGGTCAAGTAAGCAGATTCATTGATTCCTTGGAGGGGAAAGTCAGCAGTTCCTTGAGGGTTTTCTGGGAGAGTCAACACTAAAGAACTGGGCTTACTTTCCCATGGTACAGCTGCCCCATGTTCTCTCACCATCAGTCAGGCTACTGATAGGGTCCTAGGGTGCTGATAGGGTGATGAGAAATGGCCTTCCAACTCTCAAAACCTTAATTTTCATTTTAGGAGAATGGTTTTTATAAATGTGCATCAATACCTTTGGCATATATATTCTGTAAATTTTTGTTCTTGTGAGCTACCTGATTTCTGTATTTTTAAGTAGTAAACACAGAAAATGATTGCTCCAGGCCACAGTACCAACACCTACTCCCCCTAACACATCTTCTTGGTTGTTTCTCAAAGATCTTTCTCCAGGATGAAAAAATGGTAACCTATGATGCATGCCCACAGTGAAAGGAAATGTGCTCATGTAACGAACTCTTTCTTCATGTTCCAAAATATCCCAATTGATAAAGCCTTCTAAATTACTAAGGAGAGTCTGATGGAAGGAATGTCTGAAATGAAAAGGAGTTTTTAAAAGATAGGGATAAATAAATGTTCATCAAAGGACACAAAGGGCTTTCCCACTGAAGATCTTCATTTCATGAGAGAATTCATCAATGAGAATGTGATGTACTAGAGTCAAGATCAGCTCTGAGAAATGAGTCATCTTCTCATGCAGATGGGAAGACCCAGACCTGTACCATTGGACGAGCTCACTGGGATGATCTCTACAAACCGTTACTGCATCCAGCCCAGCCTGAGAAGGGTGGTAACACGGGGCATTCCTTCGCCAACTTCTTTTTATGACAATGCAATGTTTGATATTGCATGCAAGTGCTCTGACATCCTAGAACTCTGCTGAGGTTTCTGAAGATGACCAGTGCTGCTTGTTCAGAATGAAGGCACCTTCTCCCAAGTTCCAAGGCTGAGAGACTGTCTATCAGTGGCACATTTCTGAGTGCACACATGAGCATTTGGCTTTTTTTTGTGAAGTAAGTTAAAGTCACTGCCCTCCTTTCTCTTTTCTAGAATACCCCCACCATGCACTGTGGGAGAAAATGGCTTTTGTTTCCCCAAGATTTTCAGGGATGACTCGGTAGTAAATGAACGTATGGCTGCTTGCTGTCATTTTCTACTGCTCTAGTTCACGGAAGCTTCTCTGGAGAGTTACTCATGCCTCATCTCTTGTTCTGACAGTGTGAATAAACCATCTGATGTGGCTTATTACTCATCTTCTTTATATATATGTAATAATGGAAACCACGTCAATTAAAAATATTTAGTTTTCTTTAGTGCTCATCAGAAAAGCAAGTTTTCTCTCATATTTGGTATTAGTCTTGGAAATGGCTGTGGAGTCTCTTTTTCACAGCATTCCTTGCTGTTTCGGAAGAGAGGGGAAAAAAAAAACACGAGTGATATTCTCAATACTGAATCTGAGCCTTTGGGATGCTTCAGCTGACAAAGCCCAGTCCAGAGACCCATGATCTCAGTGGGGTGGTGATCTGTGATTTTCATCTTCCTGCATCATTTGTGCTGCTTTCGAAGAGCTGGGCAGATTCTAAGTGCAAGACTCCCACACAGACACGCACAGCCATCCATTAATCTTTATTGAGCACCCACTGGCAGCATAGCCCTAGCCTGGGCTCTTACAGGCAAACAAATATTTAGTCATAAGAATGACTTCCAAATCTAGCAACACCTAAATAGAAATAGCATTTCTTATAATAAGGAGAAATCACAAATTAATAGGTCCAAGCTAGAAAAGCAGGCATAAGAAATTTTTTTTTTAAATTGGGACTAGATCAGCTATTTACCTTGAATGTCTGAGTCTCCAAATTGTGTTTCACAGCATATGCTCTTTTGACTGAAAAATATTAAGTTTATAGCTTTAGAGGGTCTGTTTGGAAGTACGTGAGGAAACAGTATATTCTTACAGTTTGAGAACTAGACAGTTCTTAATTTGTTCCCTGGACATCTTCATTCTGTGGCTGTGAAGGATGCTTAGTGGCTCTGAGTTTCAACTCTTTTTCCATAAAATGGGAATAACACTAATATCTAAATCACAGAGTTGTGGAGATCGAAGAATCAACACAGATAATCCCAATGGTACCCAATTTGTGAGAGCTCAACAAATATCAGTTTGCATACTGTGTACTGTAGGGATGCTGAGCAGTACATGTGTCTATAAATTGGATGGTAGGACACACAGCGTGGGGTGGAATTTACATGCAACTTAAGAGAAATGGCATATAATGGACAATTGGTGTTACAGACTTAGATAAAACTTAGAAAGAACATGAAAATTCTCCAGCAGAGTTGTCATGTGCCATCTTCTATCATGTAAGACAGTGGTTCTCAACATATGGGTTGTAACCCCTTAGTGGTCTAACAACCCTTTCCCAGGGGTCACAGATCAGATATCCTGCGTATCAGATATTTGCATTACAATTCATAACAGTAGCAAAATTACAGTTATGAAGTAGCGATGAAAATAATTTTATGATTGGAGGTCACCACAGCATGAGGAACTGTATTAAAGGATCACAGCACTAGGAAGGTTGAGAACCACTGATCTAAGACAAAGCAAGGCAAAACTCAAAATGAGAATGACTTCTCCAAGGTTAGAAAAAGAAAGTTTCACATCAAGGTTATTTAGATTCATTGCAGATTTCAGATGGAGGATCGAAGAGGATGCACTTTTTCCCTGTAGGAAGGCCCTGTCGGAAGCTGACAAGTCATGATCATACTTTAAAATCATTGAGGTAGTTATTTGGAAACCACTGTTTATGATCATTCTCAAATAAGGAAACGTGCTAGCTGGTGTTGCTTATACATTAGTCAGGAGATCAATCACTTTGAAGGACTTCTAAGTCAGCACCATATCATCAGATTGAGAATTTTTAATACACAGGAGAATGAGTTGGAAAGGTAGTTTGACAGATCAGTTGTGACCAAACTAGTGAATGGGTGACTGGAGGTAGTAACCAGCTCATTACAGAAGACTAGGCTATAACACATTTATTCAAACTGATCTCAGATTCTAACCACATTAATAAAAGGATACAGTCTCCAGGATGAGTATGATGTTTTGTGCTTGTCACGAATATAGTGCTTGGTCCCTATCACCCTGCTGATGTAGAATGAAGGGCAAGTTATCAAGGATTGAAGTATGAACCAGTCCTCTGTGATTTCTGGTTTTCATTGTCAACCTGGCTAGAATTAAAATCACCCAGAGTATGGTAAGGCACATCTCTGGGTGTATCTGTGTTTTCAGAAAGAATCGCTGAGTGAAGAGACCAACCCTGAACATAGGTGGCCCCATCTCAGGCATTAGGAACCCAAAAGTAATAAAGGTGGCAAAAGGCTAAAGCCGGTGTATTGCCTACATTTTCCTGTCTTCTGCCCCCTGGCTCAATGGGATGTGAACAGCATCTGTTGCACATTTCCACGGCTATGAACAGAGCTGTTCTGCCACGCCTTCCCTGATATGCTGGGCTGAAACCAAGATGCAAATTAAATAACTCTTCCCCTTTTGTTATGCTCAGGTATTTTGATTTCAGCCATTCAGAAGAAACTAATGCACTCTCTTAAGCCATGGTCACATGAACACAGTCATCCAAAGGTGAGGGGTAGAGTCAAGAAAGTAAAATTAGCTAATGCTCCAGCAGAAAAGACAAACTGTGCATCCACAGACTGGTCTAGTGGGAGGTAGTGATGAACATTGTAGCAGTCTTATTGTTTTGTTTAATGATCCAGGGATGCCAGACATTTTGAAGAGGGCGGTCATAAAAGGCTTTCAACAGAGCTACATCATGAGAAGAGCAGCTAATATTCTAGAATCTGGTCCTAAAAGTGGTCAACCCAGAGTAGTCGGGAACTCTGGTGGTAGATGTACTCAGTTTCACACCTACATGAGTGTAACCTCAGAACAATGCATGTTCTGATGTAAACAACATGGCCTGTGAACAAATGACATGCTTTGGAGTACCCATGTGCCAAGTAGACATAATAGCTTTTCCTAATGCAGGGAGAGTTCTCAGCTATATACAAGTGGTCTACTTTTAAACCTTAATCTTAAAACATAAATTGCCAAGGTATTTTAGAATTTTAATAAGCTGCAGAGAAAAAAAGTGACCCACTGTAAGTAGCTCTGCTTTCAAGATCAATAGTTTTAACTTTACTGTGATGTCTGCCATTGAAAGTTATGCAGTTCATAATTAAATTAATTAATGAAGAACTTTATTTTAGGCTCTCAATCATGGGGAAAGTCCATAAGAATTATACTTAAATCACAACTTTGTGTTTTGCTTTGCTTTTTTTTTTCTTTTAGCTCAAAAGTCAAATGGAAAAAAAAATTCCCATTGATCAGTATCCACAGAAGCAAATGGTTCTCATTCAGACCCTTCAAACAAGATGTCTGCAGCTTAGGTATCTAGTATGAGCCTTGTCTAGTATGCAAATGGTACCAGGTGTTTCTGTCTGTTTTTGAATATGTATCTGTGTGGTATCTGTGCATCTGTACATTTTTGCATGTATGTGGGCACATGCGTGAACATGTTCATATGCACCTGTGTGTGCATGTGTTGGATGCCAGAAGCTGATGTTTATAGCGCTCTACCTTATATTTTGAGTCAGAGTTTCTGACTGAGCTTGCTATTTTGGCTAATCAATCTAGCCAGCCTATTTAGGGGACTCCTTGTCTCTGCTTCCTTTGTCCTGGGATTATAGGTGGGCCACCATGCCCATTCAGTTTTTGTGTGGGTTTGGGGGATTCGAACTAAGGTTCCTAACGCTTGCATAATAAACAGTTAACCCAATCTCCCAATCCCTATTTTTGCCTTTTCTAGCTTGCTATTTCTATGTCTGAACCATTCGTGTGAAACAGCAACTTCCCAAGGGAAGAAGCAGAAGTTTGTGTTATCAATCGATACTTTTGTGAAAAACTATTAAAATCATCTATTAAATTAGGGATTGCCTAAACATGTCTATTACACAGTAGCTTCTATTATGTGTGTATTTATATATGTCTCCCATTATATATTATCTAATCATGCAAATCAATATGTAAACATTTATGCATTTATGTATATATAGATATATATACATACTTTTTTTACAGTTAATCTTATGTGTTTTTTATAAATGGACAGAAAGGAATGTAAGGAAAGTCAATACTGAATATCTAGGGGGGTGTCTCTTGTTTGAAATCCCATAATTTGGGCATATCTCCCCTAGAAATGAGCATACCTGCTGCCATGACAACACAGACCACTGACTAGCCCTTCCTTTCCATTGTCCCACAGCCAAGTATGGTGTCCATATATCTCTTGGTTTAAAGTCCTGGAATAGAATAAAGGGTGGGGGGAAGGACCAATTAAAAGGAATTTTACAGCCGGGCGGTGGTGGCACACGCCTTTAATCCCAGCACTCGGGAGGCAGAGCCAGGCAGATCTCTGTGAGTTCGAGGCCAGCCTGGGCTACCAAGTGAGTTCCAGGAAAGGCGCAAAGCTACACAGAGAAACCCTGTCTCGAAAAACCAAAAAAAAAAAAAAAAAAAAAAAAAAAAAAAAAAAAAAAGGAATTTTACAAAAAGTATGTTTCTCAGGGAAAAAAAATTCATGTTGAATCTGGACTACATGTTGGCTTTTCCTTCAGAAATTCTAACTGGCTCAGAGGCCATAACCTAATGCTTTATCCAGCATTTGACTGCACTGGTGAAAATGAGTTCTCTGGATAAATCAGTTCTATTATTTTCTCATTAATCCATTTCATTTAATTCAATTCAATTCAGTATAAAACACGTGAGAAGAGAACTAAACACGGTCCGTGTCACCCTCCAGCCATCTTTTCTCCTCGCCTTCAGCAATTGCTCAACGCCTATGACCACACTCCAAAATTAGGACTTGCTGGTTGTCCTTGAGGTCAGGGACTCTAATTCCCTAAGCTCCAGTGACTGGTGCAAAGCTTCTTTACATTCCCAGGCTTGATTTGCATAACTGGGCCTGTCTTCTGCATCATTGGCCAATTCTCAGTTAATCATTCCTGAAATAGCCTCTCTATCTCCAGGCTTTCCTGAGTTCCCTTTCACACCTTCCTCTCCCTTCTCTTCCTCTGGACACCCGTTTAATCTCCTGTTGCCCTGAGCTCCTTCCCTCCCTGCACCTTCCCTTGGATTTCTCAGGCACACTGTGGCTCCTCTTCCAACACCCACCTCGCTGCACTTTGTTCTAAGCCTATTCCTCTGCCCCTGCTATCATACCAGGTCTTTTCATCTCTGGCTTCCTGCCATGTTTTGTCACTTGGTGTTGTTATAAAGGAATGCCACATACTAGATAATATAGAGAGAAGAGAAATGTATTTAATCACAGCTCTAAAGGCTGGAAGTCAGAGGCATAATGCTGCCATCTGTTTGGCATCCAGTGAAGGTCTTCCTGCACCACTACCCCATGGTAGAAGACAAAAGAGAAAAAAGAAGGAAGCCAAGTTCAGACTTTTAGGAAGGGAGGAAGGGAGGGAGGGGGGAGGGAGGGAGTTAATATAGTTGGCAGATTTATTCCTATGCCATGCCTATAATAGCTGAACCTGTTAATTACTACAGCTATGGATGTGTTACTTACTACTTGTATTTTGTTTTTTTGTTTTTGTTTTTGTTTTTTAAATCTTTGAGTGAATAAGAAGTTAACTAGTCATACCAAAATATCCAATTTTTAAAACAGAAAGGAAGGACTGGGGAAATGGCTCCGTGGGTAAGTGATTGTTAGGGAAGCCTAAGGATTTGAGTCCAAACACTGAGGTATTGGACAAAAGTGTGTGCTGTGTTACACACCGAGGCTTCCAACGCCACCAGGACAAATGAAGAGGTGTTGGAGAGGCAGGAAAGAGGGAGGAGTGAAGAGGTTTTTGTTGTTGTTTTGTTTTGGTTCTTTTTTTGTTTTGTTTTTCTCTTTGCGTTTGTTTGTTTGCTTGCTTGCTTTGTTTTGTTTTGATTTTTTAAATTTTCATTTGGGGGCTGCTGCAGGGGGGAGGGGGAAATATGGAGGGCCTGGGAGGTGAGCAGAATTGGGATGCATGATGTGAAATTCCCAAAGATTCAATAAAGAAGTTATGTTAAAAGAAAATAAAGGTGACCTGGTACTATGTTAACTTCAACACTGGAGGAAGGGATGGAGGAGGTAGATTGCTGGAGCTCCTTAGCTGGTTAACTAGCCAGTTAGTGAATTCCAGCTTCCATGAGACACCTTGTCTCAAAAACATTAAGATGGCATGGTTGGGAGTTTCTTTTATTTAAAAAATATTTGATTATTTTATGTGCATGAGTGTTTTGCACACATGTGTGTCTATGAACCACACATGTGCCTGGTGCCCAAAAAGGACAGAAAAGGGCATCGATCCCCTGGAGCTATAGTTACAGGTGATTGTGAGCCACCGTGTGGGTGTTGGGAATTGAACTCAGGTCCTCTGGAAGAGCAATAAAAGTTCTAAACTGCTGAGGCATCTCTCTAGGCCCCAGGATGTTTAGTTTCAATAGTCAACTTGGTATATTCTAGAATTAGAGTGTCAATGAGGAATTGTCTGAATTGTGTGGGCCTGTGGGCATGCCTATGAGAGATTTTCTTAACTAGGTTAATTAAGGTGATAAAACTCACTCTGAATATGGATAGCACTCTTTTAAAGGCTGGGCCTAGGACTGAATGAAAAGGAGAGAGCCAGCTGAGCACAGGCATATCTGCATCCATTCTCTCTGCTCCGGACTGCAGGTATGACCAGCCACCTCAAGTCCCTGCCACCTTGAATTTTCTATTAAGGCGACTGCAACTTGGAATAAACTCCTAAAATAAATTAAATAAAATAAACACGTTCCCTATCTTGCTTTCACCAGGGTGTCTTATCATTGGAAGAAGAAAGGGAACTAAAACAGTGGAGAGTGAGAGAGGACACTTGCCATCAGCCTCAGGCCTCCATAGGCATGCACACACACCGTCAAGAGCATACACATACTTCTCTCCCTCTCTCTCACTCTCCTTGCCCCCCAGCCCCCGCCACACACAAATGGTGTCATCTTTTATTTGGTATCGATATTCCTAAACACATAACCACTCAGTTACCAAAAGCCCTAACAACTGTAGGCAGACCTGCGCATTTGTAAGCACAGATCTACTCACTACAAATATGAATGTCACATCCCCCTCTTCACATTTTGATTTGTTATTTATAATTAGAGCATTTATTTCAACCCCAGTAACTTCTGCCAGTCTATAATACATTGTCACCTAAGTACTCACCAGCTCCAGACACACAGACAATGCATTCAAGGTAAGATAGCACAGCACACTTGAGACCGTCAATGAATTTTCTGAAGTTTTAAGCACAGAGTGTAGTTTGAATGTTAATGAGTTTCAGCTCTTCTTAAATCCACACAAATATAGAAATACATATTGTACGATGCAAATGAACTTGAAGTGGCTTTCAGTGGATGATAATACCATCCCTGGGATGGCTGCATTAATACCCACGGACAGAAACCACTCAAAAGGTACCACTTTCCCACCCATGAAAGAGAACAGGCAAGCTGCTCTTCCCAAGCAATAAAGAGGACATAATTCAGCTGCAGAAATAAATACTCTTCCATGACACAAAGAGAATGGAACTGGAGAGATAAAAATGAGAGGATAAATACAGGTGGTTTGCTAGTGAAAAGGGAATCTCAATGAGAGAAAAATGATTGGCCCATTTCCTTTCCTTGAGTGCTTCCCATACCAGCCTTCTTGGAATAACCCAAGTTTTAAATATGGCGGTGCATTTAAGTTCAGCCTTCAAATAGCCTTGTCATCAGGGAACGATTTTGAAGCACTGTGGGAATAGCTAAAGAACTGGATTCTCTTGGAAGCAACAATTACCTCTTTGTCAGTGCAATTAGAAATGACCAGTGGGCAACGGGGAGAGGAATGGTGAGGATCGACTGTATGTGCTGTGACTGCTGCTTCCTTCTACCTGGTGGGAACGCGCTGTTAGCCTCACTCGGGGCTCAGCTGGCATGCTGAAGCCGCCTCTCATCCTCACCAGAAACTTGATGGATGCATGCCATCACCACAGACCCCGGGTGTGGCACAACTCCAAATTAAAACCTGCACTCTTGCGTTGTCCAGGAGATTCATTTGAGGCTGTTCCCCCCTCCACGTACTCCATCCTCTGTTTCCTGACTATTAACTCTGAAATCATTGGCAACTTAATTTTGTAACCACAGAAGTGACTATTTTGACTATTCACTTGTGAAACTTTTTTAAAATTTAGCATAGAAGAGACTTTAATTGAAACTGAGTTTCTTGAAATGAAGTGGCCTCTTTGTGGAAGATGGAGTATTTTAAAGGGATTTCAGGTCTTTGTGTGGCATTTACCTGCAATCACAGAGCTTGGGGTTAGGGGATGAT